CAAGCAGTTTAGCAAGCCGTTCCTCCCTCTGGTTAACTCCTCTCCACGTGTCCTCCAACAGTTTCTCTTCTGGTTTGTTGAACGACGGTTATATTTTTCTTGGATTTTTTTTAACAAAATATCATTAAACCCTCGGCCGACAATGTGCCAGTTTTTTTTTAATATTCTTGAAGACCGTGTTCAAACCCTGCGTATCCTCTTTCCAAGCTTCCTTTCTGGTGCTTGGCTGCAGTGCATTTATTCCTATTTTAAAGTCTAAATGTGGAATCATCACCAATATAGACAACGTGTGTCGCCAGTGTCCGTCTGTCCTGCTTCGTGCCAATCAGTCAGTCAGGACTGGGTGCCAACAGGATCTAACGTTTTCATGGGGTTTCTCTTAATGTGGTTTTAAAGAGTGAAAAATAGATATAAACAGCTGTGCATCTGCCAACATGGAGCATGTGGGCATCACACATTGGCACATGCACGGGTTGTTTTTTTCAATTAGTGTTTGTTTCACTTCCTTTGCACTGCTGCTCAACCCCAAGAATATAATAATAATAATCCTTGCATTTGATATAGCGCTTTTCATGTCTTCTAGACGTCCCAAAGCGCTTCACAGAATATACTGTAAAGTGAATTGACTGTATATTTGTGGGCGAATGCAGCAGCCAATTGCGCACAGCAATATCCCACAAACAGTCATGTGTTGAAAATGACCAATTTATTATTGTTTTTGTGGAGGGATTCTTATTAGGCTCTGTGTGGAGTAAGGAAACTTGGTCAAGGTTTCGCCCTCTGCCTGGAATTGAACTCGGGTCTCTCGCTTGCAAAGCGAGTGCTCTAACCACTGAGCTACAGGACTCCACAGAAGCTAATTTAGTGAGACATGGCACGGTGGCTGATTGCACAAACAAGTCCTCCCTATAATTGTACGTATGTTTGTGCCAGACTGAGGATGTCAAAAGCAAGTCATATTATGGCAATTATCCTTACGTGCCAGTTAGCAATCAATTATCAACAGAGGAAATATATGTAAACGTGGCTTTGGGTTCAAGAAAGTTCTTATCTGAAAATCCCACAGAAATGTTCTCTGTGGCTATCGCCCAGTGGCTGAGTGCCAGTTCCTTTCTGCTTCACTGCACTGCTGAAAACAGGCAGTGGGATAAGGCAAAAAGTATCACGCATGCTTATCCAGCACCAAAAACAGCCACTGTAAGGCTCTTACCTTCTCGAAAACGCTTTGATATCCTAGAACGTAATCAGTACAATAACCTCAAAGGAGAACTGAACCGCCAGCTGATAGATTATATCCCACCAACCGTAGATTAGATCTCAATAATCTTTACTATAAAATCACAATGAAATGACATGCCAACTACACACTGTAGATTATCAAATATTTCTCCTCAATTAAATTCCTGATATCAAAAAACGACACTGAAAAGCGCTGAATGTTTAAATCTCTACTAAGTCCAAACTGTTCACGATTGTTCAATGTTTCAGAAGACCCGCCTAGGTTATCGGCCCCATCAGTAAAGTAAACAGACATTTTTGGTCTGTAATTGTAACGTTATCTCTCATTTCAATCGTTCATATCGTAAGCTGTGCTGATAATGGGTAAACCAAAGGACACACCTTTTTGTGGGAATAACTCCAAAATCAGCAAAGCAGTGAACATTCCCCAGGTAAGAGTTTATTGATGTGAAGGTGCCAATAGCACTGCACTATTATTATTAGTGAGCCTGCTTGTCAAGTGGAGAGGGTGAGCAGTGGAATGGGATAGGAGAAGATCAGAGCGATAAAAAGGTATTTGGCTAATTTGTAGGCAAATGCAACAATCAATTTGTATGTAGGAAGTTCCCACAAGAGCCATGAAGTGAGTGACCAATTTATTTGGAGGATATGTGGAGAAACTCTTCTTTGGATGATCAAACTTTCAAACCTTTCAAATTTTTCCAGTGAGTCAGAGTGCTAGCAATAATATTAGATCTATGACTGGAAGTAAAATACCTTCATTTAAAATAGTTTTTGAAATAAATCACTGTATATGGTACAGAACGCCAACCCTTCCTACCTTTTCTAATCTGTAGCACAAACTGTGCTAAATGCCTGGCTGGAAGGAACTCAAAGTCAGGATGAGAAATACTTAGGAAACATCAAACCATATAATGTGTAAAAATTAACAACAAAAGCTTTGTGTAATTTGTCCTCTTGTCGGTAGAATTAATAATTGATGTGTGCTTATGTACTCAAACAGAACATCTGCTTCATTCATTGATTAGGGAGAACAAAGAGAACCCATGACAGCAAAGCACACCAAACACAGACAGCACTACCACTGCACAACAGCATAGAACGTATTCCCTGTGTCGACATCTCACAGTCTATCATTGTGCAGTCATCACATCTTGCAGTCCCTTCGTTGTGCAGATACAAAACGAAAACTCTCTCTGTGTATTTCCAACGCCTGTTGTGGAAGGGCCAGGATAAATCTATTGCTGCTTTTATCCATCATTCTAACACCCTTTTTCGTCAGGCTTTGCAACCAGATGAATATCAACCCCATATTTTGACTGTGGTGTTCATACTGCAGTGGACTTATTTTACTGCTTGCAAACTGTAAATCTTTACAGCATATTTATAGTCAGATTCCTGCAGACTAATAAGATTCCCCAAGATCCTTAATGGTGATTTTCGATGCTAAGTAAAAGACAACACACGGCCACTAATAAAAACAGCTAGTTTTCCCCATATGCACAGTATTTGCTACTCATTTCATGTTGGTGCTAATTTAAGATACCAGTGTTTTAAACTGAAGGAATGCTTGCATTCTTTTAGGAACCATGAATCACTGTTTTACAGTTCACCTGTTGTCAAAAATGTTGTGATAATAAACAGCAGCACATAGTGTATACTGAAATAAGGACTAAGCCGATTAAAGTGTGGGATGCCACTTCCCTGCTCAAAATAACACATGTACTGGGAGTGAGAAGTGAGTCTGAAGGTTTATCTGATCTTAAGTCACTTGGGGACTAAGGACCCATCTACAAGAAAGCATCTACACACGAGCCCCACTCAACAGTCCAGAGCATCAGGTAATCTTTTAATATCATTAAAGAGACGGGAATGCTAATAGCCCTCTAATAACATTAGTAACTACAGACCGATCCTGTGGTCCGTTAATAAACACAAGCCCTGCATTGCATTATAGTATAAGGAAGTCCATGGTTCATTGGAACAATCAATTGCTGCTGTAGATTTCCAATCATCAATAGAATCAAACTGATTTTATCTTGACATCACCGGCTGCTTCTCCAACGCTGCACAGTTTACGAATATCAATACAGGGCTTCAAAATGAATTGGTGCAATTGTGCAATCGCACTTCACAAATGTAACCATAAATCAAAGCGAGTGTACCAGTTATAATCACTAGAGGCCCCCATCTCTCAGTTTATGAGCACCACACGCTCATTTCCCAAGCGGAAAAATCTGGTGCATCATTCATAGAATCCCGGAAAATTTGCAGCACAGAAGGAGGTCATTCTTGTGTCTGCTCCCCTATGGTATTTCTGCACAACATCAACTGATCTACTAAAATTAGTAAAAAGAGAATGGTAGGAAGAAGGAGTGAAGGGTGGAAAGCGGGTGGAAAGTTTAGACGCAATGCTATTTTCTCTTTATGGTGAGGTACTGACCAAGCAGAACAGACGCAATCCATTGCATGTGTTGTTTACAGGCTGGAGAAATCAAACGTAGGATTGCCAGTGGAAATGTTGTAACCACCTTCCTTCAGACTTGCTCTCAGGATTAACTGATCTAAGTGAACTTTTTAGCCTTGTCCTCTGACTCATTTGTAACAAGTAATTAGACCCCTTTAATACAGTAATTAGAAGTCTTCAAAATCATCTTTATGTGGTTTCAGAGCAGCTACAATGCAATACCCTGGACTGACTGCCTGGCCACTCAAGCTGTTGGATATTCAGTAGTCACCATAAATAAAACTCCTCACAAATTCTTGCTCATTTTTCTCAAGTTACTAACATCAAAGGAGCCAGTTAAGGGTAACTGGAGAGATTTTTTAAAACTTCTTAGAAAAGCTTTGCTCTCCAGATTTCTGGCATGTTGGAGCTGGCAGCTACAAAGGCCCCTGTGAAGGGTACGCTCAGGCAGCTGTGATACAGTGCAGCTACACATCGACTCTGAAACAGCAGTGCAATCGCAGGCCTAGGTTTGTTCAGCAGATTCAATGGCTATGGGCTCAAAGTGGAAAGCCATCCAGTCTGTCTATTATATACTGTAGTTCATGATGCTCAGGAAAACAAAGTGTCCTTGTTTTCTTAAATCCGTCACAATGAGCTTAATCCTGTGTAGAATGAACATTTTCTTTGCTGTTAAGTGCATTTTCCAAAATAATTTCGCAAAAGACTTTTTAAAATGCCATGGCTCAAGTGTAGAAATACGACTTAATTAAAATGTTTTTACGGATCATGGATGTGCAGGACAGTGAAATATTCAGGAAGGAAGCTGCGTTTTTATAGCTCAGTATCACATTGAAACATTTCAAATATTTTACTCTAATTACTGTAAACTGTAGTGACTATTTTACAGTGCCTTTCTGCAGCTTGAAGCCAATGGTGCATTCCAAATGTGACCCAGCCTTCAAGATCATTCTATTTTAGTACATTCATTTTGTCTGATTAATAGAATCAGTTCTAAGAGTTACGCTCCCAGAATCCATGAATTACAAGGCAAACTATCAAATGAAGATGGTTTAGTCAGTTCTAAGAACCCATGTATAATGAACCCAATGTATAATGAGGAATTGCACAGTGGTAAATGTGACACATCATGTGCAGTGTATAATTTACACTGGGAGGTTTAGTTTCAGAATGGTAAAAGGCTCAACAGCCAAAAATAAACCAGTCACAAATAAATCTAAGCGACATCAAGTTGATCAGTATTGAATGAAAGTAAATCAGATAACTGTGGAGTGTTCAGAAACAGAATGCTTACCTTGACATATTCAAGGGCAAAGTCCACTATGTGCTTGTTCCTGTGGAGAAGAACAGAAGCGTTGGTGTAATTTACTGGATTAATCTTAGTTACTGTTAAAATGATTTAAAGGAAACAGAAACCGCTCACACAGTGATTGAATGGACACGTGATTTGACCTCAGTGCACTCACTGATGGTAACTCATTTTCAAATGGATACGATGGCCCAGCTTTACAGCAACAACCTGCATTTATATAGCATCCTTCACGAGGATAGCATCCCAGAGTGCTTCACAATGGCGGAGTCTGACAACGAGCTGGGGGGAGAGGGAGGGGAGGGAAGATGACCGTAACCAAGATCAAAAATGAAAGTCTTCAGGCGGGATTTGAAGGTGGGGAGGGAAGGGACAAGGCGGAGGGATTGAGGGAGAGAGTTCCAGAGCTTTGGAGCGTAGTAGCCTGTCCTCATCTTTATCTGGAGACATCAAGTGAAGGAGATATGTATCATCAAGACAGGAATCGTCAAGACTCAAACATTAAAGAATTTACACTTAGGAGAGAAAGCAGAGGATGCCCAGTACCTGTGGAGCCATCACGCAGTGGAAGGAAATGCCTTTGGGAGAGGAGGAGGAAAGAAAACTGGAGAAAAAACATTCAATGTTGCAAAAGTGACCATGCAATAAATCTGAGTCTAATAAAAATACATGTCATAGACCATCCACCCACATTTGTTCCATAAACAGAAGTAAACGCCCGTATTTATTTGTTCAAAGTCTTCATAAACAGATGAAAAGGGAATCGAGGGAGTGGTTGTTCCCTTTAGACTTTCAGCTTCTATATTACTGGGGTGATTAATGCTGCACGGCTGATAATTGCATCTGCTTTGTGTGGGACTACGGTTTCAGAAGTCCAGACTCCAGGACTGAAAGTGCCTTCAGGCGTTGTCTATGCTGATACTGTCCTCCTTTATTTCCCCATTCTATAACAAAGATCAAACGTACCTGCAGTGCTTTTCACAGGAACTCAGTTTTATGTTTTGAAGTTTCACTTTGAGAAGCTTCCTGTGATTATGTGCTATTGTGTCTGAAATGCCAAAGCCACTAATGCAGCACAATGCTTTGTGTTTCTTTCGATCTTACACGTGTCTAATTAGCAGCTGATTTTTTCATTTTAGCCTCAGTTCTGTGGACTTGAACACACAAATTTGATCTTACTTCAGTTGGTCTTCGTATTTTTGCAATTTGGGATTGATTTTGGTGACGCTGTAATCCAGCAATGTTAGGCTTTTCCCCTTTGTGGAGTCCTGTGGCTCAGTGGTTAGAGCACTCGCTTTGCAAGTGAGAGACCTGAGTTCAATTCCAGGCAGGGCGAAACCTTGGGCAAGTTTCTTTACTCCACACGCCTAATAATAATCCCTCCAAAACTAAAAACAATAATAAATTGGTCATTTTCAATCTACGACTGTTTGTGGGACATTGCTGTGCGCAATTGGCTGCCGCGTTTGCCCACAAATATACAGTCAATTCACTTTACAGTGTACTCTGTGAAGCGCTTTGGGACGTCCTCCCGATGTGAAAAGCGCTATATCAAAATGCAAGGATTATTATTATTTTTATTATTATTATTATTATTATTATTTCACCTCCCTCCTTGACTGAGTGGGTTGAGCAGATGAGCCACTTTGTCCCAGGTCCCCTCCTATGCTGCTCTGAAAACAGCCAGTAGGAGGTGTGTTGAAAGGTCCCTAATGATGACTTTTTTTTCATCTCGGAATGGGGAAAATTTCTTTCTTTCTGCCCTCAGCTGAATTTAACACAAGATCCTGTGGGCAAACTCCTGCATTTTTTTCTCTTTCTCTCTCCCCCCCCCCCACCCCTTGAGACACACACTTAAAGCTGTAGCCTTGTTAAATAATTTTAGAACTTAATATTAAGTAAATGACAGCCATTATTCAAATCAGATTTTTTTTTAAAAAATGAAACACACAGCTGTTGCAGTGAAATGTGTCTCTCTCGCTCTCTCTTTCTCATGGGCTTTGCTTTGTGTGGATTACATCGACAATGAGAGATGGAGACCGAAGAGGTCATGTGGAATAACTCCATGTCTACATTTCACTTAGCATCACAATGCGAGCAATACTTCTGTGTGTAGCGCGGTGATCAGTTTTACACTTGGAGCTCATCTCCCACAACAGGCTGAATAAACAAACAATAATTAACCAAGTCACAGGAATACCCTTCCTCACATCGCACTGCAGCATTGCTTTGAGCTTTCGCCAACTTGCCGATCGCTAATGTTGGCTTCGCACGCCAAAGCGGCTTTTCATCTGGCTAATAATGTGGGAAGTGTTTTCAAAGGAATTTGATCAGAGCGTTGCTGGTTTAGAACGGGCTGGTTGATGAAATTCAAATCAGATTAATATATTTTCTCAACCTTTGTCTTTGACCTTTCGGATGCTAATCGACTGCGAGGGGAGAGATTTCATTGTAGTTTCAGATATCCAGCTTTTGCAGTTTATATTTATCTCGAGAATACACTTTCTGAGCAGCTTATTTTAGATGAGTTCTATAGCATTTAGATTCCTTCTCTGATCTTGTTTAGCCAACCAGATTCCAGCTCTGGTAAACTTTGGCTATTTGCATCAGACATAGGTAAGACTATATCTCCTAATTTGACTGTTCAATGATGGTGAGCAAATTTTAACATTTTATCTTATAAACCTTGCATTTGATGGTACACGTATATGTAATTAACCATGTTATCAATACTGTGCGCTGTCCCAAACTACCAAATAAACATTTAGTATCACTGGACTACATTACAAGTTAGTTGAAAGTGCTCTGGCTTCTCCCCAGCACTGGTACAGAATATTGTTTAATGATCTACTGAAAATGTAATAGGTGTCCCAGCTGTCCTCTATTTATAATTTTGTGTCAGTCATAGGAGAAACACAACAACCTGTTGTGTAAATGTTGAACTGACAACAGTGTTTCCATCCAATGTTTACCAAAGGTGCTGACAGAAGTTAGCATTGCCAACACCTGTCCAACTGAGAATGGAAACTCATTAAAGTTCAACATCACTCAACTTAGAAATGCAGAACCTGTCACAGGAGAAACACAAAGCGACTCAGTCTTTAATGGAAAACTGGGTTGAGTGAACATCTGACAATAAACACTGAATCACACACTTAGTGAAGGTGCAACTGATACACAAGACTGGTGTATATAATAATAATCCTTGCATTTGATATAGCGCCTAATTACATCTTTGAGACGTCTCAAAGCACTTCACAGAATATACTGCAAAGTGAATCGACTGTATATTTTGTGGGCGAAACCCAGTGGCCAATTGTATACCGCAGTGTCCCACAAACAGTTGTGGATTGAGTGACCAAATTATTATTATTATTATATATATATATGACTCACGGTAAGCTTTACAAATGCGATTTTGTGGTTGTTTTGTTGTAGAAACTGGTTCAGTCACATGTAATGTCCAGGAAGGACTCCACATGTATCTCCTCCTAATAATTAAGGTATTACTGCCAAACCCGAGGCAGGCAGGCAGGCCTGATCCTCACACCACAACTCTCTGAGCTCAGCTGCCTTGTGGAGAACACGGGAGAGGAGGGGGGGAATAATGATCCTCACTGATGTCACTCTGAGCCAACCACTGGAAGGTATATAACACCGGCACAGGAACGACTGTGTCCAATTGTCCCTCTGGAGGAAGAGGGGAATGACACACAGGATCTCTTGGGAGATTGGATCCCAACTGATGAGATTGGATTCCAGCCATGTGCCACTGTGTCTTTAAGAGACTGTGCTCATTCAAAGTAAAAACCTTTTCACTTGTCAGAAAAATGCTTAGCTTGGGCAATTTAGTACACGTATATTACATTTTTTATAAAGAACACTCCTTGAGAATGCTAGAAAGCAGTTCTCCCCCCCTCCCCACCTCAGGCATCTGAAAGCTAATCCATCTTGCCTTGTGGTGGGGTTATCTGCAGAGCAGCAATTTACTCCTAAGTCACCACAACATTCCCCTTCCATGATAACATCTGCACCTACTGCTCGCAAGTCAGAAAGGCACGGAATAAAACACAGTCTTAAACATTTTACAACAAGCAATTGTTTTTAAAACAGGAACAGGCTAAAACAAACGTGCAGCCTGGGACTCGTTTATAACTCACTTTCTGACATACTCAATTACGTTTTGGGTTCTGTTGTGATCTTCCCACGACAGACCCTTGACCACATCATCACAAGGAAAATTTATTACGTAAAGAAGGCAATCATTAATCAAGCTTAGCATTGAATATTCTTCTCTGTCCCTTGTGCTATTTCCCAACAGAGGTCAGACAGGTAATTTTCCTTCCCTTCCCTTGACCTCTGGCAATACATTTACTGTATATGACTGAACACTAGGAGGCTTATGAGACAAGTCCAGTATGATCTGTCCCCCCTTTCTCTGGGGAAGAGGCACTGGAATTGAGTTAGGGAACTAACTGTGCCATCATTGGTGTGAATAAGAATATCTCCTCTATTCTATGACACAGTGTGTTAATACCAGCATCCTGCATTCCTGCACTGAACACTGTTTCACTCTTCGTTGCGTGCGGGAATGGACAGCAAGTTAGCACAAGGTCTTACTGAACTGCCAAGGGCATAAATAGAGAAATCATCTCTCTGCCATACTCAGTGAAGAAAATTTTACTTTCTGTTCATTAAAATATTTTCGGCCAAACTGACACTATTTTACAATGATAATAATAATATTTGCATTTGAAAATCTGCCTGCGACATAAAACGTGTTTCAAAATAATTGCTGTCAAGTGTTGTGACTATGTGTTGCACTATGTAAGGCCCACAAACATGCATGAAGTAATTGAGCAATTTATCTTGTCCACAACACTAAATATACCAATACACAAAGTATAATCATACCACAACTGTTTGTGGAACGCTGCTGTGCGCAATTGGCTGCCGTGTTTCTCCCACAAAATATACAGTCAATTCACGTTACAGTATATTCTGTGAAGCGCTTTGTGACGCATCAACAACATGATAAGGCGTTATATCAAATTCAAGTATTATTATATAAGCTTTTAAATTTAACTATACATGTATTTGCAAGTGACAGGAGCTAGTGGGCTACTAAAGAGTCAAGGTAAACAGTTGGGCAGTACGTTAAAAAATTTACTGATTTTTCAAGGGTTACTTTAATGTGCTTTTCATGCTTTAAAAATTGCAAATAGATTTTCCAAAAATGTTATTGCATAACACTCACTGTCAGACTAACACAAGCCTCTAAAGACCTGCAAGTGGCCGGGAGGTAAAAGCCAGAACAAGCAAAGACTCAGATGTCAAGTTGTCAATGAGCTTCTGCACAAGTAAACAGGCAGATTTACCTCTGGTGAAGACAGTCTCAGATATAAAGACTGGAATAAATTATTTTTATTTTATATGGGTAAAGGTTTTAACAAAGTTATTACACTGCAACCAGTATCCTGAGTAAGAGAATGTCCATTATTACAAAAAAAAATTGGTCATTCAATCCACGGCTGTTTGTCGGACACCACTGTACGCGATTGGCTGCCGAGTTTCGCCCACAAAATACAGTCAATTCGCTTTACAGTTTATTCTGTGCTTTGAGACAACTCGAAGACGCTATATAAGAAGCTGTATCAAATCCAGAACAGAAGCCCAGGAACTGGTGAGATGGATGTAGTGGCCAGGAACTAAGAACGAGTAAACTGAATGGGGATCAGCAGCCTTGGCTAACAGACTTGTGAAGCCATCATCGAGTACTGGTTACAATCAAGATCAATATGTACACGCTAAATAAAGGATGCTGTGCTGGGCGCAGTATTGCAACAGAGCATTTGGAGCATTGACAGACTGAGCCATGCAGCAACACAGTGGGGGGCTTACGCCCCAGGGTCCTTTAGGTGCTGGGCTGCTGAACTCAGCTGGGTGTCAGGCATCTGCGGTGACAGTGAAGGCTTTTCAATGCAGGGAGTGAAGTCAGGTGCCAACATAACCAAACATGGCAGCCCAAAGTCATTGCCAAACTGGTAGCAATGTTATTGTGTTATATTCTATTATTGACGGCGCTGATTTCATGACGCGGTGACCAACCCCTTACCTGGATGGGAAGTCTTGTCTCTTTCCTTGTGGCGCTGGGTGTTCTTCAATGATGTCATAGGACACCGAGGCATTGCGCAGGCGAGGCTGGGGCGGGAGCTGGGCTTGGGGTCCTCGGGGGTTGTACATGTCGTGTGACACGATGGGGATCTTTCCATTTTTCTTCCTGGGGAGGGTGCCGTGGATAGAGATACTCTGGAAGGGGCTGGAGTGCTGTTTGACGGGAGGGTTTCCGCTGTTGTGCAGGTCCATGGCAGACGCCAGTGAGCACGGATGGCTGATGTGGATATTCCGAGGGAGGCTGGCATACTTCCCCGCTGCCATCATCTTTAATTCTGCACGCACAGGGGGGTGGGGGAGGGGGTAAAAAAAAGACTCAAATAAGAAAATTAAAGGCCAATTAATCATTACACAAAAGGGCTCTTCCCCCCCACTTTTAAAACAGAGTCCATTCATCCACATGATAGTTCACAGCAATGACCGACTGCTCGCTCGACAAAACAATCTTCAAACGTCCAAAGGATCCTGCAAAACCCAACTGACATCAGCCTCTGCCTGAGCTGCCTGTCATCACTTGGCTCCATTCACTTCTGACGGCCTTGGTCTTTCTGGTCAGGTCAAAATACAAACCCCCTTCTTTTCCTCAGTTGCTGGATTCAAACATTTTTTAAGCTGTGTAGGAGGGAAAGGGTTAAACAACGGAAACCTTGATGTAGACTTCAAAACGTTGGTTTCATTTTGTGTACTGAGAAGGGTCAAAGGTTGGGATTTGTCATTGTAGTTATTTAAATAAATGTAATGCCCGACATTAAATGAATGATGCATTCATTTAATGTCGGGCATTACAATATACATGAGGGTCACTATACATTTCTACAGTTGTTGCAAAATCAGCCAAAACACTAACATTATACTAATACCTGGAGCTTCTATGCCTCTCAGCTCTGCCATTTGATTAGATATGTTCATTTCGAGTCACATTTATACTTGCTGGCAGAATTTGGCACTTAGATGGTTCTGTCAGTCTAAAAAGCAACAGCCAATGTTTTTAAAAATGTAATGACTGTACATCACCCGTTCTGTTGGTTTAACCAAACCCAAACCAATAGGGACAGCCAAGAGTACTCTTCACTTTTCATTTAAATTCTAACGTTGACAAGATAACAGTAAGAATAATATAGATTTTAAATGGGCACATTATTAGTGCCAATGCAGAAGGACAAGAGATCACAGGTTCTCGCTTGTGAAGGGCTGGTTTCAGGCAGAAAGAAGTATTTCTTTATGCAATGACTATTCATCAGCTGGAATAGGCTAGCAGGAATGGTTAAGGACAGGACACTGGACTCATTTAAGAAAGAACTTGATGCTTTAATGGGAAGCCGGTTTGGTTGATATTTTGCAAGATGATGGTGCTGATGTACACACCAGGTCGAATGCTGCACTGATTAAATTTTGCATCCCGAATGAAAATCTTAGCCTTGCATTGTATTACAGTTACTTCAGATTTTGTTGACCCAAACTGCTATAATAATCCTAGCATTTGATAAAGTGCCTTATCGTTTTGTCAAGACAAGTTGTGGCTCTCCTACTGTTGGGTTGATAAAGGTACTTACTGCCCAGTAAGTGTGGAAATGAACCATAAAGATCAAAAAGGTCCCCAACTTGATCCACAGCTGGATGGTTCCAGAGTATTGGCCATCAAGCAATGCCACTGGGTATTGCAGTCGCTGCTAATCAGTATCCAGTGCTTACTGCTGCACTTGTATGGATGTTAATTGAGGACAGAATCAATTGGCCTGTAATCGCACAGCATTCATTGCCAAGGCTCACACTTGAAGAATGGCCATTTGGATGAGGTATCAGGGACAACTAGTGTCTGGAGAATTATATCCAATGCGAGTCAGTGCCTCCAGGAGAAGAGGCCAGCAAACAAGAGCAGCAAAAAAAAAACACACAAGCAAAAGGACATATACGATAAAGTTATTATTGTGAAGCTTTGAGTCTCACTCACTGGGGAATTTAAACCAACGATTAAAAAATACATTTAAACATTGTCTATCTGAGAATATAAAACTGTTAAGCATATCTTCCCATCTGCATCTTTTGTCCCTTTCTCCAGTGCCGCGTGTACATTTAGTGGAGGTAGGGGTAAGAGTATGGGAGAATAGTGCCAGTCTTATGGCCATCGGACTCAGCACTTTGCTGACATGAACTAATGCAAATTTCAGCATAGCTTCTTTTTAATCTTTCTCCATCTTTTAATAGAAGTTGAAAGGCTTCCTGCACCAAACACAGACTTATTTTGGAACGGCCTCACAGCAAAAATTTGTTCTTAAAATAAGAGATTTTAGAGACAGTCACTTCAAAGTGCACTGCTTACTTTTTCTAACAGCGCACACCTTTCCAATTCTAGAGCAAGGGAAATATTTAAAAGTTACTGACCTGTAGCTTAAATCACTCGCCTAATGCTTTGATCCACAACAGAAGTAATTTCCAGACGATGAGTACAGACATAAGCAACATCCTGAGTAAATCAAACACTTGCTATTTAACCGGGAAATGTGCTGAATCCACCCAAAAAATCTTTTTACAGAATCCCAGATACGTAATAAAACTGGGGGAGAAATTCCCACCATCTTGTGAGTTCAAGACAAACTTCAGATTCTCAGGCACTCCAGCCCACACAAAGAACCCTAACAAAAAAGCAATTCATTCTGAGTGGGACAATGCTGAAAAGAACAATGTTTCCTATAGTGTGCTGCTGCATCCTACACTACTGCCTTTCATACTGAAATATCTCGCAATCTTTGCCATCCCAAATGCTTTTATTTTTTAAATTATTCCTTTTCACAAGGTTTCCGAAGACGTGGAGCGATTATGGAGTTTCTTTTAAAAAAAAATCCGCAGTTAAAACATAATTCTGCACCATCTCCAGGAAACGTCTGCTACCCCCAAAGAGATCTTCCGCAAGCGAAAAATATTGGGAGAAAAGTCCAAAAAATTATTTTTACACAAGAGTTGACAAAAAGCACAGGGTTGCTTGGTGATTTCAATCCTCACAGAAAAGTGTCGGTCATGAATTGAGCGCACAAGAGAGATTACAGCCAGGCCAAGCTAACAGAATGTAGCAGTCACTACAAAGAATTGTACACTACAATTGCAATTATCAAACAAAGATACTTGCGAAAGTACCCATTCTACACTGACTAGAGTTAAAACTCACGCACGTTACCTCCCCAAAACAAATCTTTCGACTCTCATTTACACAGCTGAACATTTATAAAATGACAGAAACTGAGAATTGAGAGATTAAGATGAACCCTTTATTTCCACCAGTTTCAAAGGCACAGCTGGCAATCACTTCCACATGGGGGCTTATGTTTAAAAAAAATATTTCTATCAGATAGAGCAAATGCTAGTTTCAAACATTTCATTCTCCCACATAATCAAAAGAAACAAGAACATACTATCTGGAGCTGATGTGCTGTTTGTGTAAAATATGGGCCAATTACAGATAAGGCTTTGCACTTAAAACCTAAGAAGGAACAAAAGAGAATACAATGAACTTGAAATGAAAACACTTGTGGCTTAAAATAGTAAGAATTAATGCATCTTCTCTCACCAGCCATCAACTGTAACGAAATGTTTCTTAAATACAGTAGTCACTTAAGGAGAAGCAGGTGGATTCTTCCTAGGCAGAAATACTGGAGAAAACAAACACAGAGGAAACTTGGAGAGTAGCATCTACCTACCTCTAATAAACAGAGATTTTTTTTAAAAAGACGTCTCCAAACACTGATCGCACTGTCCTTCACCGACTACGCTGAATATGCAAAGCACGCTCACAAACTCTGGGCCTAAGGCTGTCTGTCTGCCAAGTTACACATCAAAGCACCAAATAGTTATTTATGAAGTTTCACTTTTTTTTCCCCCCACCCCTTTCCCACACTTGCAGTCTCAAAGAGTGCTGCTAATTACTATCCAGAGCACAGCTCCCAACTCTGAGTTACACTGCAACTCAGCCCCACCCCTGTTTGACCACTGGGCAATCCAGACTGAACTTCACATTTGACCAATAACCATTAAATCCATTAGTGTGTCACTCCACTTGCTGAAACATAGTCACAGAAACACATTTCTGTTTACTTTTGGATGTGGATCATGCAATTCTGGGTGGAATGCAAAGGCCAAAATGCACTTGTATTTCAGAATCTGTTATTTGTACAGGGTCGTTTTCAGTTCTGCTGGTATATCATGTATGATATACGTAAACTTCCTTTGTAGAGACCGAGCAAAGCGTTTGCTATTTTTTTAATGATCAGCATACACGAGACTCATCTATTTACTAGAATTAGAACCTGAAAGGTAAACTGAGTTTAGGTTAAGAATTCTTTCAAAGCTGCAGCAATCATTTAAGGTGCCTTCTGGGCAGTGTTAGAAATCAATGCTGACAGTACTTTGTGCTCAGTGTACTTCCCTATTGAACAAAATCACAAATTCTTCCAAGATTAAGTTACTGATCCTTGAATGATGTGCTTTTGAGGCTATATTATATTAGCATTCCATTGTTACAACAAGTTTATCACATTGTCACATTAAATAGTGGAGCTGGACAATAAGGAACTCCTTAGCACTGGTATGCACCAAATATGCATATTGTAGTTGCTGCAGATAGAGAACAGAATTACCTCTTTAAAATGCTGTATTCTCAGCAAACCAGAAGTTGCAAGCTGTATACAAACTTAACTACGAACGCTCCTAAGTTACCCCAATGGCGAGAGTGAGGAAATACACCAGGTAATTTGGAAGTTCACATGTGTGTAAACCATTTCATTTTTTTAGTGTGCCTCATAATTGGGGTCTGAGTTTGAGGACCCAAACTACCAGGTAACTGAATGATAGCTACTACAAACAGCACAGTGACCAGAACAACGTATTCTGCTTTGGGATCATAAAATTCCACCCAGCAAGTAGCATCTGTTGCTAAAGCCACCGCAATCTTCTTAGTTCTCTTTGTCCAAATTATATTGGCTGCTACACTGTAGGCTATTGTGCACATATGAATGCCAGTTATATTCGCCATCAGACAGAACAGAGTCAGATTGATTTCAGCTAATTGATCCTTAATAGTGCCATCTTTTTATAACATCAAAACATTTTTCAGCAAAGCCTAAAGATGTTGAGGCAGCACAGTCTTTGGGTAAGAACAGTAAACTGCTCTGTTGTGCGCTGGGCCAGAGAGCAATAAAAAATGCTTTGTCACCCAACTGAACAAGCCTGCAAATTCAAGCACCTGACTTTTCCTCTGTCCTCTCCTTCTCTCACCCTCAGAGCTGTAACCAAATAGAAATTCAGCGAATGTAACATGGGGTGAAAAGTCCGATAAGTGACGTGACACAATTGCCACAAGTGATAATTATCATATCATGCAAAATTAAATTTCTGGAGATATCCAGTTGATAATTCAACTGTTTGCAGGAACTCCTCTCATCGCAACCCCCCCCCCCACCCCACCCCCAGCCCCAAAATCTTTGTCCAAGAAAAAATAGTCATTGATCCATATTGGCTGGATACACCATTGATCCTGACCAATATTTCTGTGCCAGTTTCAGCATTATCTCGACTTAACTCAAGTTTAAAAGTTGTGCTTTTTATGCCAAACTTTAACTCTAACTGGACTATTATCAGGAGCAAAACAACAATCGACATGGACCTGAAACCTTTAAGCACTTTGAGACATCTCGGAGATGTGATAAGGCAGTATCTCAAATGCAAGGATCATTATTGTTGTCTGATGATATTCACTGGCGGAGAGTTGAATGAAATCGGATTAATTTTCAGCCAGAGTGGGGAAAGGAGGGGGAAGAGAGAGAGAGAGAGTGAGAAAAAGCACAAAGTTATTTTGTTAATGATAATGTTTACCCTTGAAAAACCTCAAAATAAAGCTTGATCACTTGGTGGAGTACCTTTTCGTCTCTCTCGCTCCTGAAGCAGAAGGATGCTGGAAGCGATGTCTGCTCTGTGCATCCGGTTCTCAATTCCCATCTGCCTTAGATCAGCCTCTTTCAAATGGAGTAAGTCCTGCAGAGGAACACGAACAGTCAATGACAAGTCAAATGAAGTGGCGGGTGAATCAGAGTAGATTCTTTCCAATACTTTTATCACAGTGTATATCCTTCTACCTTAATCTTTACCCTGCTGAATAAACTGAACCCACATGACAAATGCATTGATCAGGACTTCCAAAGGAATACTGGACTTTCATATGTTTTTAATTATATTTGGTTTTAATGTTGAATTCTGACGAATTTCACAATTATTGTATTTTCTCAGTTTATCACCACACCCCGCTGAATTGGACACATAGTTAATAATCTTGCTTCCACCATAAAACTGTTGAGAATTAGGTCATGTTGATGCATTTATAATCTGAATATTAATCCATATTCTGCTAAAACATGCTCAGTCTTCCTGTATAATCATACATTGCTCCAGTAAATCTTCAATCATTTCATGTAATGACACATGAAAGTGAGAAAGGGCGCTTGGAGGAAAGAAATTATGTTATAATTAGCTTTTATGGTAACATTTTACAGGACACCCTCTGCACAAGTTCTTTTATCTGAAATAAAGCTGTAAATTTTCAATTATTTCATGTAGTGACACATGAAAATAAAACAAGGCACGTGGAAGAAGAGAAATTGCATTTTAATAAATTTTGCAATCGGCTTTTAAACATAAAATTTACAGCACACCCTCATCACAAGTTTTGTTATTTGGAGTTAAACCCACCCTATTCTAACCCACTGTGCAAACAGTTTCATATTCAATTAATTGATCTTAAAGGAGTTTTATACTTAAAGCTCTTCAGTGTATCTCCAGTAAGTGAGTGCATCATCCATTTGAGTAAAGTTACCGTGTAATCTGTGGATTTCAACTCGACTGTGATAGCCCAGCTCCTCATGTAAACCCTCTCTAGGATCAGATGGCCAGGCCCTTTGTCCAGCTTTGTATTTGTTGTAAGTGAACAGAGAACAAAAGGAGGCCGAGTGATTTAATCATTGTTACTTTATGTTAAGATGAATGGTACGGAGTCATTTCTTTTAGGATCCTAGCTGTATCCTGGTAGCTCTTTGTCTTTCTTATCTTATTGCAAATGTTATGGCTGTTCAAACACTTTTCTATTATTTGAAAAGTCTCTGCTGGTCTGATAACTTGTGTTTTGACACTGTTTTTCTATGCAGGTGTTTTCTTATAATAAGGCCATGTGTGTGTCTCTGATCAGCTCTGAGGTTATGCACCTGATTCCATAAACCCTCCTGATGAACACATGGCATCTGTAAACATACACATACTCCCCTCATCCAGGATCCAGCTTTCCACCAAAAAACAATTTGTCTGATCAAAAGCTATTTCCATCAGTAATTTTCCAGTGGCATGTTTCCTCACAGTATCGTAACCTCTCAGGCTTCCCACCCGCACATTTCAAAGGCAGTCTTGCTAAGTGTTTGCAGGATTATATAGTCATTACTTTCAGCAGAAATAATATAGGTATCATGCAGTCAGAAATGCAGTGACCTTTGACCAAACATTAGAGCTGTAAAACACAACAGCTCTAAATGCTCGGTGCCCTGAATAGGATGACTGGCTTTTACTTGTTAGCAATTTCTTGTCCTATAGTGTATGTTTAGGCCCCATGTGTATTGCTCATGCTCTGGGTATCGCCACCGAACAAAGTTGCATATTTACCGCACCTCATAATACTGAAATGACATTTCCAGCAAAGCAGCTCTTCCCTGGTAATTCACTGGATGAGCTCAAGTCCTGACACGAGGCTTGAACCTTCTGTTCCAGAGGCAAGAAAGCCTATTGCTTACATATCATTTGAACTACACACACACACACCCACAGCTGTTTCAGCTGAAAGTTGCTGACTGGCTTTATGTCAAACCTAAAATCTCTACTAACAGACGGCAAGTCACTGACAGAAGTAGATATCAGTAATACCAGTGCTGACATGTGCCTTGAGTGAGGGCTTCCACACTCCCCATGTCTGGAGTCAGTGCCTGCTGCAACAGGCACTTTTTCAGTAGCTGGTTAGCTTTGCTCGGCTTGAGGCTGCTTTTGTTTGCGATCAAAAACAAAAACTGAATGAACTCCGGGTAAAGAATTGTAACCACCTTTTACTGCAGCATATTTAAGTTATAAAACATATTTTCAAAAGGCTAATGTGGATATAATTCCAACCTATTGTTTCATGTGTTAGAGTGAATGACCCGGGAGTCAGTAATCGTAACTGTTGCACTTCCCACTACAACATGCGTGCTCCAAAAATAAGGAAACCCCATCCTGTGTACAGATGTATGAGGATTGTGAACAGTCTTGTGCTCTTACCGTTAGACACTGTTACAGAGAGATTTCTGCTCTGCTTGTTATTCTGGTCAGGATTTTCTGTTCAATCGTTTTCTTGCTGATTGAATGTATATGGGTCCAGTGTCAGATCTCATCTCCTTAAATGGAGTTACTGAGCAAAGGCTTGGAAATGAGCTCATGCCTCACTTAGTACACAGACAAAAGAACCTCTCTCAATGGCTGTCTGACCGTAAAGAACGATGGCAGTTTACGCTGGCAGGAGTCACACTCACACTGGGTTTAGGCTGTGATTCCCGCAGCACAATGATCCACACTCAGGTGGTCACACAGACATTTGAGCGGTGATACCTTCTGTCCAGCCACCACTGTATTTACAAAATCCCAGTTGATTTGGGGGGCACAGTTCCACATGTTCACACACGTATGTATCTGGATGTATTTGACACAGTGTGATTCACCTACAACATACAGTCACCACGTTTTACGGTAAATCCTGTGAAAACCCTTTGAGATGTCCTCCTCATGTCAAAGCCTCTGCATCAAATGTGAGGATTATTATTATTATTATAATGTCTCTTGAGAAAGCATAGAACTCAGTCGACCCTTTGATGCTGTGATTGTTACACAGCCACAGGGCTCTTCGCTTTAAAGCTCCACCAAGTTTTTGTGCAAGCAAAAACGACACAACACATCATTGTGCCACACATGCAAATGTTAGAATATTTTTAGAATAACCATAAAGATCAATCAGAACAATTCTGTCCGGAAGGTGAACAAGTGGGGAGGAAACAAGCGTCAGCATCTTTGAGGCATGCATTTGAAAAGGCACCTTTCTTTGGAAAGAAGTCATTTCCCTGCCAGAGGTTATCAATGGAACATGCGCTAGGACATCTGACCTTCAGATGAGACATTAAACTGAGGTCCTGTCTGCCTGTTCATAATAATAATCCTTGCATTTGATAAAGCACCTTATCACGTTGTTGAGATGTCCTAAAGCGCTTCACAGAATATATTGTAAAGTGTAGTGACTGTGTATTTTGTGGCGAAACATGGCAGTCAATTGCTGACAGCAGTTTTCCCATAAACAGTCGTGGATTGAGTGATTTTTTTTGGAGGTATTATTACCCCTGGAAAGCAATCCATCAATTGACTAACAACCAAATTTCTACTTACTTCTAGATAAACAGAGACAAGTGGAGTAAGGAAACTTGTCTAAGGTTTTGCCCCACCCAAGAATCGAACCCGGGTACTCTCGTTTGCGAGGCGAGTGCGCTAACCACCACGCTACAGGACTCCGTTGTGGACGTTAAAGATCCGACAGCACTATTCGAAAAGAGAAGAGAGTTTCTCCTGGTGTCCTAGCCAACAACTCCCCCAAATAAAATGGCTCACTTGTTTCATGGCTGTTTGCGTGACATTGCTGTGCGCAACTGTGCTGCCGTGTTTGGCTACAAAGACAGTCACTCCATTTCACAGTAAATCCTGTGAAGCGCCTTGAGACGTCCTTCCGATGTGATAAGATGCCATACAAAATGCAAGGATGTGGTAGAGGTTAGCAGGTCATCTGGTACCTATCCAAACTGGCAGCGGATGTTTGAAACCTACACCTCTGCTGCTAGGTGTGGTAATCCTGTTAAACACATGCACAAACCTATCTGTCAACACATAGCGGGTTATGGTTCAAACAAGGCAGGAACACTGTACTTCAGAATTGTGTTTTGTTTCAAAAATAATAAAAATACACAGCATTTTAAGGGCCCACCTACAAATCCTTTTCATAGATCCTTCCCAATTCTAGTGCATCGCATTTAAAAAAGAAAAGAAACACACCCATACGCATTGAATGGAAACCCCACACTGCATAGACCCAGGCTTTGCTATAGAGAGTGCAGAATTCACTGGAGGAGGCTGAATAACAGTGTCTCTGTACTGCAGTATCCTTGGCCAAATGTATGCGTTTCAGCAATCTGACCAGGAATTGTATTGTAAGTGAACTATTTAAAAGTAGTTACTTTCTCCCTCTAATTTAAGCAAGCCGTACATTGAGAATAGTTCCAGTGGATTGAGAGAAACTGTGATTATTATTCTGGTGTATTTGTCCTGATCAAAGTATCTAGTATTAAACATTTCAGGATAGTTTGTTGCATCTGCCCACAGTAATAACAGGTCAAAACTCAAGAACTTTACCAACTAAACCTAAAAATATATGCTACTTTAAATACAAGCAAACATGTCAGAGCTTTATGATGAAGTGGTGTTATGAATAAACCCTGCAAAACTGATAGTTTGTTTTACTTGTTCTGAAAACATTTACATAGATTCACAGCTTCTGAATTTGGGGCACTGCACAGCATGACCCGATTACCCGACTTATTAGCTTTTGATGGCCGAGTGAGTGGAATTTCAGATAACGTGTATTTTGAGCTGAGGCTTTTATAGTGTTATTATCATTGTGAGATCAGCTGTCTATTGCCAGTAATCAGGGCCTATCTGCCATCTCTGAAATAAAAAGGAAAATTCCTCCTTTCAATGCCAATTCCATTGGATTCCTGTTACATACATTCAATCCAGATGGCAAGTGTGGCAAATAGGATTATATACACAACAGGAACAGCTTTAGAACACAAACAGGCAGAATAAGAACAGTTAACCCACTGTGTAATGCAGTACTGTCTGCTTCTTCCCCTGTCTGTCTCCAATGCGGTGACTCATGCTAGGATATAGCTCAATGGATAATAATCCTTACACTTTGGATCTTGTCAGCCTTCCAATACCTCACCCAAGAAATCATGAATCTGCCATTTCAGGTGGAAACTGTAGAGAGTGGGGAGGAGGCAGGATAAAATGTCCGAAAGCGCAGTCAGACAATTAAGTAGTTCTTTATGAAATACAGTACTGTAAACTAGACCTTTACATGTTAATAATCATCTTACATAATACTCTATGAAATTGGAGTTAACTGGGATACATTTGTCCATTCAGGATTACTCACCTCCACTCCGTCAAACATTTCATCAAAGAGTTTGAAGTATTCCGGAAGCCCCAGCTGCCCCAGCCACTTGGAAATGGACAGATGCTTCATTGCAAACCTGTGCAACTCGGGTCTCTGTTAAGGGGAAAAAAGACGGGACATTCAATGATCTGGCAAACTGCATTCGAGCGATACAAGAATCGCACCCATCACTCTAGGAACTTCTAACACCAATTAATTGGCTTTTATATTTAAACATTTAATGATTTATAGCTTTCCTTCAGTCCTCGACTCTCTCAAGGTCTCTGTTCACTTGTGGTGTTTACCGAACACTCTGACCTTACTTACCAATCACTTCTTTACTGCGTTAAGGAAGACCTAATGTACAAACTTAAAATACAGCAAAGCTTCAAATAATGTTTGTTTGAAATATTAGGGGTGTTTTGGTCTTTTGGAATACAGTGCCAACCCCTTGTGCTCCAGTATATATTTATCTAAGGGAGGAAATGACGTCTGCTGTACACAAACCACTTTCTGCCTAACTAAGCATTTCACTAACATATCGGAGAGGGAAGGGACCAGTCTTCCTAATCTGGTATTATAGAGACAATATGATTAAACACTCCCGAGTCAGAAACCAAATTACAATTAACACTTCATACTATTCAGAGATTTGGTAATTACAGTGATATGCTAACACATACTTCCAACTCCTTCCTTGTTATTTTTACATGCATTGTAACTGGACTCATTCGCCCACAAAATATACAGTTAATTCACTTTAAAGTATATTCTGTGAAGCACTTTGAGACGTCTTGAAGATGTGATAAGGCGCTATAGGATTATTATTATATTACTCCAAATGCTGATCAGAAATCACTGAGAATGTTTTGTTGTCCATCCTAGTGTAAGCGGGAAGTTCTTACGCACATTATAAAAGATTATTTAGAGAAAACTTTTGAAAGAAAACATTGAAAAGTAAATGAAGACAACTGTCTTTCATTTCAGCAGACTCTTTACGATAAAGCATCAATGTTGTTCCCAAGAATGGACTCAATTTCTTCCCCTTTTCCATAGGAGCTGTTTGGCTTGCCTCAGTTATAACCTCTTTAAACTGGGGAGAAGGGAAGTCAAGAGCCCGGTGTGATGAGCAGCAAAAGCAGGGCAAGGTCTATTAGCTTTTCCTCATTAGCCCCTGTTGAGAAAGATGTTCTTCTTAGTGGAAACTTTAAAAGAGAGGTTCAGATTAAGATAACCCTGTGGTGCTTTAATTGTCAACCTTCCATAACTCACCCAGCCACACGCTGACAAGAGCTACTGACAAAAAGCAACTTTTTTTCTATGTAAACCATGTGAAGATTAAAAGGACTTGAAGGTTATTAGGTAACAAGGCAGATGTGCAGATGGAACCTTCTGGGAAGTTAGATGGGTTCAACGGTCTGCTCCTGTTTCAAGCTATTACTATGTAACCTTTACAGAAATGTAATAATAAGAATCCTTGCATTTGACAAAGCGCCTTATCACGTCTTCGAGACGTCTCAAAGAGCTTCACAGAATATACTGTGAAGCGAATTGACTGTATTCTGTGAGCCAAACGCGGAATCCGAAAAGCTCACAGCTTCCTGAAGGTTACCCGACACCAAGGCAGCTAAATCATACAGCACTGGGCTACACCAGCAATCTGACCAAGCACATTCACCAGGCTCACTGTACTAAAGCTGATGTATTATTACTCTGAAGCTGCTGAGCTTCAGCAGGCTCGCTCGCAACTCCTTTCCAGGTACAATTTGTCAGCTGGGTCATCAAAATTACAAAATGTTAGTCTATTGAGCGCTGTTTGATAAGCAGACATCTGCCAAGGCTGCTGCCATAGTACGGACCTTGAAATGAAAGCAGGCCTGGTGCAAAAAAAAACAACAAAAACAAAAACCAGGACAGGCTGTCTCCCTGTTTACACACAGTTACATGTATGACTGGACTCAGTTTTCTTAACATAATTTTTTTTTCTTTCAACTCTCCCACTATTATCAACTCTGTGCAGTAGGGTTACAAATCCATGAGAATTAGCAGCGAAGATCAGAGATGACATGTTTTTTTAACTCCTTGTCTCACTTCCACAAGAGGAAGCCACAATTTATGCTTTATATATACTTCATTCACTGGTTATGAAGACACACACAACACACAATATACATCAATCTGGAATAGCAAGATGTTAAACGTATCAATGGCAACACAGCTGCTTACCACTCACGTGTTCATAGTTACTACTTCGTCGAACACTGGAACAGTGTTTTTCTCACAAAATATACAGTTAATTCACTTTAAAAGTATTCTATGAAGCGCTTTGAGACGACTCAACGACGTGATAAGGCGTGATACCAAATGAAAGGATTATTAATTACATTCATTCTTCCTTTGCTTAAAATAAAGACTTTATCATTTCAATGAAATACAAGCTTCAATTTTTAAAGCTTACCTCATCAAACTACTTCTTCCAAGAATGCTCTCTGCTGAAACTCTCTTTGAGTGTGTGCCACAGCACAAACATCCCTGCAAACCAACTATCTGTGTGATTACCATCTGAATGAATTACCTGTGTTTACCGGGATGGTTTATCCTGTTTGACTAGCATAGCCTCAAACAGAACTAGCTGAGAGAGACATCATTACACATTACACGCAGTGCTGAAAGGAGGCTGAACAACTGCTGCCTCACAGCTCTGAGGCTGGAAGAGAAGGGATTAGAAGATGAAGGTCATAGAACTCTATCTTTTAACACAGGAAGATTACAAATTACATTTTTATGACAGAACAAAGCTTGAAATTCCCTGAAGTGATGACTAATTTCTCAATCTTCTCTTTGACTCCGGCTTTTCTCAAATTTGGAAGCCCTAACAACACATAAAGTAACTTTAAACCTGTCAAATAGACCAGTGTCAAAGTCTACTTTAGGCACTTTTACTGTCAATTTAAACACTAAATAACAATGCGTAATGATGCAAATAACCAAACTATTACTATGGTTCTTATGGGATTTGCTATAAAGCTTGTCACTAAATTTGTTTTATTATCTCTTACATTCCGATCTGAGTTTACCTGCGGATTACCTGTAACCTTCAATTGGTTAAAACTGGCATTTTCACAAAAGAAGATAGGCTTTTGAAAGAAGGGGGATTGTGAGGGGCAAAGGCTTATTTTATTGATTATGGAAGTCTTGTCATCGAGTTTCGGTCAATTCAGAATCAACAGAGTAATTATTAAGAGAAACAGAACACATTGAGAGCACAGGTAGCCAGTCAATCAGCAAGTTACAGCATCTAATATCAGACAGGTTAAAGTAGTTGGACCAGAACTCCACTAAGTGCTGAATTACTCATTCATCTCTCCTTTTGCTCCTTGAAATGCTGATCATTTTTTCTTATTTCTCTGGTCCAAGCTTAGCCAGGTGACCCATTGAGTCATTAAGAGGATTACAAGTAGCCTTGACTTTCATTTTATATGAGAAAACAAAGTTACTCTTGTTGAATCCACAAATGATCCCAGAAATTATAACCCGTAAGAAAGCCACTTAACCATTTAGGGTTAACTTGAGTTGTGTGGGAAGAATTCCTGCCCCCCCAATGACTGGTCAGCCCTTCCAAGTGCTAGCGATAAGCCAGCCTGTCATCAGCAGTGCCCTGGAGTACTCCAGGACCTGGACTCCCGAGACCACGACAGAGGGTGAGCTCAATTCTGACGTTCTGTTGCCAAACATGTCACTTTGGAGCTAGTTTAGGTCCAAGGAGATCCCACCTAACTGCCCTCTGAGAAGGGTCATTTGACATCCACAACAAGCGTGGGTTTGAGCCCTCACTAAGTGGATGGCAAGAGGTACCAGGAACTCCGGGCAAGCTACCCGGTGGGCAGCACAGCCTAGCATAAAATCTGTGGGAGAATTGCCACTATCTTCCTGTCCGCAACTGAACTATCAGGGTAAAACAAGTGGTGGAAAGAGACACTCAGAGAAGGTGGGAGAGACAACTTTGGCAACGTACCAGAGGAATGACTGCTTAGTACTCTAATTAGGTTGTTATCAGAGACAGAGTTTTCTAAAAATACTTTAGATTGAGTGAAGAGTGATTGTCAGAATGGTTACGAGAAATCATAAAACAGATACGATTTGAACAATAATGTGGTATCTGATTTCAGTTTCTTTACTGGGCACAGTAAAAATTAAATACGAATGCTAAGATGGAAAGAATGATGAATCAGATTCAAGCTTCAAAAGCTGGTATTACTCAGGTATGATTTCTTGTAAGAACAACAATTAATAGTCATGGCAACAGAGAGAGAGAGAGAGAGTTATAAGCCTGTGACTCACTGTTCAGTTTGTTTATTCTCATTCAGGTAAGTGGGCTGAAGCCTCCTGCATGAAATGCAGTGACAGAGTGTTGCTCTATGGATTGACATTTCAATTCACTGCGTAGACAATCACAAGACAGACATATATTCCTGAACCTTAAACTGTCTTCTCCAACTTTTCTGTTCCCTCCCCTACACCCAGTGATCGTTTCCTATCAAAAAAATGCTTGAAAGGATTGGGATTTACCCACATTCACCCTCAGTTTAGTAATGTAATATAATAATAATTCTTGCATTTGATATAGCGCTTTTCACGTCTTCTCGACATCTCAAAGCGCTTCACAGAATAGACTGTAAAGTGAATTGATCATATTTGTGGGCGAAACGCGGCAGCCAATTGCGCACAGCAGTGTCCCACAAACAGTCGTGGATTGAAAATGACCAATTTATTATTGTTTTGTTTTCTGTTTTTAGTACTGGTTCACACAAGCCAAGGAGATCCCAGATTTAGTCCCTTGCTGCTAGCTGTTAGCTTCACTCATAAGAACATAAGAATTTGCTAGGTGAAAGAAGACCAAGGTCCATCTAGTTTGCCTTCCACCATCCTGGCAGTCACTTGACATGTTGTGTCCCAGTCAAGAGAACCCTATGGGTACCTGACTTCAGCGCTTTCCAGTCTAGGGAGAGAAGCGGTCATGATTCCTGATTCTAATCACTATCCAGCTACTTTCTATCTGGCTGCAAAATTGACATTATATAAGGTCACGATGGGGCTCAGTTGTCCCATCCTCCTTGATCACCAGAATTAGAGGCTGATTGAATTCTTTGCCAGCAGGTGTTGCCAGCAATCTTCAACAATTCACACACAAACATTGTATTCACTGCCAACGTAAACTCTTGAGAAGGATTCAGACTCAGCAATTCTGTGGGAGTTCCAAAAGCCGATCTCAGAAATCCAACAGGTGGGTTTTAATGAAGTTAACTTATCCTCAATTCTCTCAGGCTCTCTCTCAGTTGTGTTTCAGGAACTCAAAACTCCCCTAGTAGATCTTTGTCGGTTTGGCATGACAGAAACTGAATGTGCAATCCAACAGAGTTAAGTAACAGCATTACAGTGTCACGTTGCATGAAGTCAACCTTTGGGAAGAGCAAAGGAACTTCTGAGAAATCATTTCTCACTACATCACATCCCACATTCCTTATCCCTTTCTCCGCTCATCAAAGACAGTACCTCTACTGACAAAAACAAAATGGCTTTGTCTTCGCTCAGTCAACAGGACCGGTTACATGATAAATAAGGAGCCAGATAATAACAAAAGCTTTTAACATTTGTATGGCTTGTCTCCTCCTGCTTATTCAGAGTCCTGCTGCTGTTCGTTGGTTGCAGTGTGGAAACTGTGAGCTACATTGTGTATCTCCCTTGTACAAACTCCTGAAAGACTGTAAAATCCCCACGACATTTTGTGTAGAAGTAACAGCTGTTCAAAAACTTTTAGTCAAGAAGCAATTTAATGTTAAAACAAATTTTTTTTTTTAAACACACCTATTCAAGCTAGATTTGAATACCTGTTCACACATTGGATCAGGTCAGTGTGTGTTTGAGGTGCAATTTGACATGGATTTATTCACCACTATGCCCTTTGTTGAACAAGAGGAAGGAACCGGGTGACCTCAAGCACCTGGTATTAACACATTTGTTAAACCACCTGTAAGAAAGAAGGGGAAGAGGGGAGGAGAACTCAATTCCTTCACTAAAGGCTTATCCCATTGGGACTCTCCTCTGTTATACAATACTCCTCTGTTATATTGTTATGCTCGTACCAATGCTAGTTCCAGCTTTAGCAGCAGAGCTATAATATAAATGAAGTGGCACTGACATCTCCCAGCGGTGGTTAACACACCGGGAATAGTGGTCACCAAGATGCAAAGGGGGCACCTTAAACCCAAAAGCAATGTAGAAGAGAACAATGAGGTGTTATCCCAAGGTTTTGAAGAAGTCACTTGGGGATGCACAGGAGTGCAAATAGTGCCTATGGCTCTGTAATCCAGCAAAGAGTCAGTATTTCTGGGAGCAGAGGGTTCAAAAAGGGGAGAGAATTTTGTATAGAAGTAACATCTGTTGTAAAACGTCCGGCCATCCTTAAAATTAATGTGTATGGCTCGCTTTATTCTCCAATAAGTGATTTGTGACATATCCACTCCTTTTGATAAGCACTCTCTCAAATCACTAAAAAGAATCATCGCCCTGATTTGAAAGAATTCACACGTTACGATATGAAACACTTATTCTGATTAACTTCCTGACCTTCTCTCCTGGAGGCAGTTATTTATGTGGGGGCAAAGTGACTCATAGCAGGGGAGGGATGGGCAGCTCTCTTCATGTGTGTCTAACAACAAAGCTATTCCCGACAGCAGCCACTTCCAGTGGGGAATGGTTGGCAATGCGGTGCAATTTGTCCCACATGCTTTCACCCTTTGCCTTAGCTACATATTCAGAGACCAATTGAGTTCTCCTCATCTGAGGTCAGCTAACTCTGTACGGCGTGGTGATCAAGACCTGATATCTTACTAACTTTCCCTATGGGGGTTTGCTCATTGTTAACAGGCTTTCCTTGCGAGATACGCACAATTAACCTTCAGAAATCATCCACAAACTCCCATAGATAGCATTCAGATGTGTGGCGTCTGAGGGACAAGCTGCTGGTGTTCACAGCATGGCTTGAACACATTAGATCCAGCTCTTCTTCAATCAAATGTGACCTGTCTAAAGATTGTTAGATTTCTTCTACACACTGAAACAAGACAACCTATTTCAGCCGGTTCGTCAATGCAGGTTGATATGAAGGAGGCCTTTCTAACCTGTATTTAACCTTATTTCTGAATACACTATCCTGTATTGGCCCAAGGACGATGTTGTGCAACAAACGATGCTGCACAATTTCAACACCAAAGGGCAACACACATCAGCAGCCTTAACAAGTCTTAGCAAACAGCAGCCCACCTGCAGCAAAGCTCGTATGTAAGATAGGTTCTAACATGAAAAGCAGCTCCAAAAGCTTACATTGCATCTCAGGAAAAAAAAAGTGAAGATATTCACATCTACAATCACTTTTAATTTACAGACAAGGGAACCCGGGCAGGTAACTAGCTCAGGCGGTCACTCTCTTCAGGAAAAATGACGTGACACGTTATTCCTAAACTACTGCATCCAGCTACCTCAATTCCAGGTTATAATTTTCTTGATAGTTTAAGAGCATCCAAATTGCACACAGTTTCTCTGTGGCTTCACCGTATTGTGAAGGCACACAGCAAAACCAAGGAAGAATCAGGCCGTCTTTAATCGGAGCTGAGCTAACTGAACAGCCAGCAGCAGGGGAGGTACAATTGGACTCAGTGTCATTGGTAGGAAAGGAACAAATCATTAATTTCTAATCCAGAGACCCCTGCTGGAATGTGTGGGTGTTGGACTGAATCAAGTTTGGCGATGATACCCTTCCTCCCAGGAGACAGCTTAACAATGCCTGTCGTTTGGGGCAAACCCACGGGACAGTGACTTGGCAAAGGAAATGGAGAGCTGTTGCTAAAATGAAACCATTTTCCAGCATGTTTCAGAAGGAATAGAATCTTTTGAGGGTCGGAGGGCGTTGCACTAATATATATCTAGGAGCAGGTCAACTGTTGGAAATAACAGAAAATGAATTGCTTGGAAATGTAGTTTGTCCATGGGGTGGGGGAGAGCCTTCAGCCACTCTGCCGCTATACAAATGTAATCTTGTTGTTGTTATCGTTAATTAGCTAGCTTTTCAAAATTGAACTGTTAGTCTAGGCTGACAAATTGACTATCCCGTTCACCTACAAATTGCACAATCACTGCAGCTCACATTATATCCTGTGAAGCGCTGTGAGATGTCCACCTGATGTGAAAGGGGCTAACTCAAAACGCAAGCATTATTATTAAATCAATCTCCAGTTCTTCAAAAGCAAAACACCCTCTTCATAAGAAAGTCATAACGTGGGTGCAAAACTATTCCTTCTGTGTCTTCACAGATTGGTTACCTCACCCCAGTGAGCATTCATTCCTTTCTACCTGTACCTGGTTTAACTAGCTTGAAGAGACGCATTCCAAAGTAAAGAAAAACAGATGTTTTGCACTTTTCAAGGATAGTAAAATTCTAGGCATGAGACGGGGGGGGGGGGGGGTGCGCGGTGGAGAAGAGGTTAAACTTTTATCAGCAATTAAAGTCAAAAGCAGAATACTTTCTCAGTAAGCTTCGCACCACAAAGGTTGCTTCCTTTTCTTTTCCAAATCTTTGTGTTCGACTTTCCTAAGCCTTGACAAAATACCACTTAAACTTGAAGGCACTTTAAACAATCTTCATGTCAGCGATTTTTAAGGAGTGTTGCACATATTAGACTGTTATCCATACACTTTTCTCAGCCGTTTGTTCAACACTGAAATCTGTTTCACAACATCCACCCCAATGTCCAAAGGTTTAATGTATTTCCTTTGACTGAAATGCCCCATTCATCTCAAAGTCCAAAATCAATCAACGAACAAGTCAGCAGTTTGGTTAACATTCACCAGCAAACTCCTGGAAATGTGACAATACAGTACTTGATTTTTTTTTAAAAAAACAGTAATTCTATGTGAAGATTTTAATTTGAAGCAATACAAAACAAGAGTTTAAACCTACCTTCCACACAGCTGTCAAGATTCCTTTCCACACCAGTTCAAGAAGAGTCTAGCAAGCAATACTAAAATCTTTGGCATTCCTGCATACTTACAAGATAACACAGGCAGGCAGCTGTACTCGGTGCAGGTATTAGTTCAGCTTTGTCAGATAAAATAGCAGCAACATTTTAGCAGTCATAATCATTTTCTTCAACTGTGGTCTGAATACAGTATATTTGGAGCTCAGTGACTGCTGGGATCCTCCTATTTCAGAATGACGTGGGCTGAAAGAATCAACACCTTATTTTGCAAAAGACACACCTTAGGAGCTGCATTCAACACCAATCACAGGAACTTTCTGCCCACTTGCCATCAGCAGTTTAGTCACACTAAGTCGAGCTAACTCATGATGTTATCAAAATCCCTGAACATTTTGAGAGGAATGTTGCAACTTGCTCCACGGTACCTTGCATTCCATTCATTCTAGTGGAGATGGTCAGACAGCTGGAAGTGAAGAAACACTCCAGTCAGCAGAGGCTAAAACCATGGAGTGAGAATTACATTGCAGCAGATCCCAACCCCATTTGGTAAACCACTCCTCCAATATCAGTACACCTCCCATAGTAGGCTTCTTGGAGGCTGCAGTGTATTTGCAATGTAGGTTTCGCCCACACAATGCACAGTCAATTCACTGTACAGTTTATTCTGTGAAGAGCATTGAGACGTCTCGAAGACATGTTAAGGCGCTATCTCAAATGCAAGGATTATTATTATTTGTTCAGGAAGGAACTCTAGGAAGGTGTGGGGCTGACCGATTTTGGAGCAGAAGAATACATTAGCTTTAGGTACCTTTTTTTCAACATTATACAAAATTGCATCACGATGGCATTTATACCCACTGGAGTCCAACGTGAGCTTCACTAACAATGAGGAATAACAGAACAAAGCCATTAGCACAGATGTGTAGGAGGCAGCTGTTATAGAGATGGAGGATATGTTTGTCAGTGCTGTCTGGAGCGCTTGGTTGAGACGATTCAGTATCAGATAGTGAAACAACATTGATTAAAGAACCATATGTAACTGTACCTGAACTATTTGCCAAGTTAGAACGCAAAACAAATATTACTTGCACTTGTGGAATATGCCGCAACTTATAACACTTACATTCTGACACGATTGGGAATTTTTGTGGGCTGAACAAGTCTATTCCTGTTTCTCTTTAACCGAGGCAAGCTTGCTTAACATAAGTTTGTACTTCTGTTAGGGTACACAATACCCTCTCCAAATATAAATATACATATATACTGTATAGATATATATAATATATATATCCCCTCTGAGTTTCAGCCTATCCTAAAGTTGCTGATTTGTTTTGGAATAAAGTTTTGTGTTCCCCCTCCAATAGCTGTCTCAAGTATCCATGCTTCATATGAATCTTAGATAGTGAGTATTACCACATTGTTCAACTGTGAAGGCATCAATGCAGATTGTGGTCCTATCCTCCCTGAAATCCATGTCTACACACTTTACGGCAAGAAGCATTGGATAGCGATCAAGAGCAGGAGCCCCGGTTGCTTTTCTCATCCTAGGCTCAGAAGCACTGAGGCCAATCCCTTTTTCATGGAATCCAACCAGTAACTTTTCCGTATGTCACAGTTCTAGCTAGAGTGGACAGTGCTGTGACCGACTGAACGTATGGGCAGCCCATTGCGTATGGGCAGCCCATTGCCAACCATTTCAAACAAAAACAAATCCTTACACCTTCAAATGCTGTACATTGAGCGGTGAGTAAAACACAAACAGTTAATCTGGCCTGACTTAAGTGACAAATATCTAATTGAGTAAGTTATACCAAAATGTGTAATGTGCATTCCATAACAAAACTCAAGAGGAAAAACAGTTACTAGAAACATACTATCCCAATGTTATTAAATAACTTGAGTTTATAAACAGGTTGAAACTTGTACAGAAACAATTTTGAAGTCCTGTGAGTAAATAGATTTTTCTCACACATAGGATATAAAACAACTTTTGAAAGATAGAACAACTACATAGTTAAATTAAATAATGTGACGTTAAATTAGGTGAGTGACGGAACTCTAGTTTCAAAACATCTCCTACAGCATTGCATTGTATATTTTTCTGCTCGTTTTGTATCCTGTTCATAGCCTAGTTTTGTACAAATAAAGACTACGGTTTCTGCTATCTTGTTATTACAGAGCATGACAGCTCTCATGACTGTTCAATGGCCAATTTTTGGTGGAGTTCTTATAACAAGCACACCTCTAATATATATTTAAATACAAATTATTTATAATATTTTAGTGTACAATGCTTTTCGATCTGTGCTTTGAAAGGGTGCTTTTCCACCTTCTCTGGCCTGGTGAGTGAAGACATTGGCCAATTTAGTACTAAGCCATACAAGGCCACAATATCCAGCTCCTTTTAGCTCCTTCGCCTCTTCTTTTAGCTGAGTTGGCTAATCTCAGCTGAAACAATCATAGGGTCACCTCATTGGTAGTGCCTCTGACCCCCAATGGCGCATACAACGTACTGTGGGAATGGGATGGAGGGGCGAATGCCTGTGGGAATTAGGGAGAAAGAGAAGCGGCAGCAAAAGGGAGTGTGCAAAATAATACAATTAATATACCATTAATCACTTAGCACAAATGCTGTGCATCATAGGACAAGTCATGAATTATAATGGCTGAGGTTGTGCAGCTGAATAGTGGCCTAAGGAAAAAAAATGAAACTCACTAACAATCATCTGACCTCCATTCATTAAACAGGTTACTAGTCGGGTCAACACATAAACATATTACTTTTTCCTAGGAAAAGAAAGGCCAAGGCAAGCATGGAAACATCTTTTCCACTAATCTTGCTTTCTATTACGATCACTGACCCCACTGTTAGTTATTTAAGCATCTCACTACAATACTAAGCACAACCTAGTTTCCTGTTGCTTGTCAGAATGTTTCTTTTAATTGAGGATGAAGAAAACAAACTAGAGTCAGGAAACGATGGCTGTGCGGATTCCCACGTAAAATTTTCACATGGCTGTGGCTCAGTTCTAGGTTTTCTGAAGCTGATGGACCAATTGGTGAAGTCAATGCACAATACGAAAGTGAACTATACTGACCTGGAAAGTCCCCGGTTGACTAATCTCAGTGAGGGCAATGGTAGGGACTGCAATTGACATCAATATCATATGGTAGACATTATTTATGTATATATGGCATAAAAACAGGAATTAGCTCAGTTGTGATCACATAACCTTTTGACAACCTTTATCTAGGATCACAAGGGGGATATGGCTATTGGGAATGGCATGCGAAGCAAAGAGTCATCATGTTCAAGAAAGGAGGGGGTGGGGGCATTGACTCAACACAAGGGTAGATGCCATAGTTTTTCTCTATTTTTACTTGAGTATTTGTTATTTATGTGTACAGCCTCGTTTAACATATTACATGTGGTAGATTTTACAAAGGAACAAACGTAGAATGTCTAAAATAAACCAACTTCCTTTGGTTATATATCATCCAAGTATTGGTAACATGTACGGAATGAAAACATTGCAGCACACTTCATCATTATGCAATTATTTAGCAACTGCTTCTGTGCATTTGGTTAGGTGTAAAGCAAATGTCAGAGATGCACCCATTACAAGAGCACACACCCCAAAGTCATTAAATAAAATCACACAGACTAGAACACTAATCATTACCACAAAGCTTGATAAACACATGACAGAGTGAAAAACATTGGGATTGCGTGATTTATAATAATCTATAGGACAAATTGCCTCATCGACTGTAGAATTAATCAATACAGGTTGGTTATTAGAAAAGTCTATTCACTGTTGGTTTCTGTTTGTCTCCCTACGATAAATACTAAATGTATTTCAATTATCAATGCTAAATGCAATACAACTATCAGTGCTAAATATTATACAACTAACAAATGCTAAATTAACACTGTACAACTATAAATGTAAATGTAATACTGTACGATTCTCAATGCCAAATGTAATTTGGCTATCAGTGCTAAATGTACAACTAATTGTCTTGCATTTATCCTCGTCTACTCAAACAGAGTGAAAAGGAAACAGCATCCGACAATGCTCAAAGCACTCCAGAAGCATGTTCCTTTAAAATAAACTTTGGACTTTCGTTTGCTGTAAAACGGTGCGTCAGTCTGGACTTGCTCTGTGCTGATTCCCATAAACATGCCCACATAACAGGTAACTCATTCACAATCAGACAGTTAATGAAAGTCCCCTATCAGAAATGCTCATTAACAACAGACAGCACAGGAAATATCCCATCGCTCATTGTAAAATTAATTGGACTAACCCACCTTTAAGAGTGGAGTTTACTACATCCAACCCTTCCTCTGTTCATTTGTATCCTTGCTTATCTTTCCTACATGACATCCTATTTCAACACATAGGTTATATGTCATAGCTCCCCAGGTTCCTCCAACCCGACGCTTCCAGTTAAATAATAACTGTGAGCGTAGAAATGAATTCAACAACAACAACAACTTGTATTTATATAGTGCCTTTCAAGTCGATGGGACGTCCCAACTCACAAGTATGGAAAAAATGCAATAAGGAGAAGATAACATTGGGAAAGACTGCACTGGGCTAGAAAGGGTGAATGGTCTCCTCCTGTTACTATTTTCTGCTAGAAAAAGCCGCAATGAGATGTGCAGGAAGTGTCGGATAAGAAAGGGGAAGGTGTGAATGGCATTTGCTTGTGTGCAGATCAGACTACAGATGAAATCATTAACTTAGGAGCCAAGGAATAATAGGTGAAAATATCTGTTTGTCTGAATTGATGAGGCATTGAGACAATTACAGGATCTGGTTTCCGTAATATAAAGTTGAAATATAGAAATAAAAATCTGAAATGTAATAAAGGAAAAACAGACCAGTCAGCCAGCCAATCTGTTCCGTCTCCACTCACAAAGCACCTCCACTATTAATTCAGTATCACCCAATGCTATATAGTATCACCCAATACTATATTCCATTTAAAGTACAAGAATCATATCTTGTCAGGTGTAATATGAGTATAATGCTATTAAAAGATGAAAACAAATTAGTACTTTATTTCTTCAGCAAGGGTGACATTGGGGCATTACAATTGGGCTCAATATGCCTTGTATTTAGTAAAGCCCAGTATTGCCACTTCCATTATTGGTGACCCATGTTAAAAATAATTTTGCCCTCAA